GTCAAATCCAGGCCTGGCTGGCCGTGGCCTTGGGGAGGCTCCCCGCACAGAGAGGTCTGGTGCCTTGTGTGTGTGTGGGGTGGGGGTGGGGAGTCACAGTGACGGGTGGCATAAGCTCCCTGAGGACACATTGGATGGTTCTGTCCATTTTCAAGGATGACTTGAAATATTTTTGCTTTCTAAACCCACTGAAGTCAGAAATTAAATAGTTGGTCCTTTCTTGCTAATTCCCAATTAGAGCCTCAGATCAGCATGAACTTGACGGGGTGAACTCTCAGAGTAGGAATCATTCTTCCTAATGCCAAAGTCTGTATGGCTTTGCGATTAAAATAACTGGCTGGAGCCCCAAACTGCCTGAGTCTACCACTTACCTAAATCCAGGTGACCTTAGACAATTTCCTGCACATCTCGGAGTCTCGGTTTCCTCATCTGAAAAATGGGGAAGATAGTATTCACCTCACAGGATCACAGTTGGGATTAATATACACTCAGTGAGTACCTACCATGTGCTAAGTGCTGAGGTCACACCAGTGAACAACCCATAGTCCCTGCCCCCATAGCGTTTGGTAGAGGAAGGCAAACAATAAATTATACATATTTGATGTAATAGATGGTGGTTAAGTGTGATGGAGACAGATAAGGCACTTTAAAGAGAGAGTGTCAGGATGTGAAGGGCTATTTCACTTGAAGGTAGTCTGGGAAGGTCTCTCTGATAAGCTGACTTATAAGCAGAGACTCGAGTGAAAGCAGTGCATGGGGCTATCCGGGGGAAAATTCTCCCAGGCAGAGAAATGAGCATGTGCAAAATCCTGAGACAGGAGTGAGCCTGGCATGTTCCAGAAAAGGCAAGGAGGCAAATATAGTTGGAGAGAAGGTGGTAGGAGGTTGTGGTGGTGGTAGAAAGGACAATTTCTGAGAGATGCCTAGGGACAGGTTGTGTAGGGCCTCATAGCCCACTCTAAGGACTTCGATGTGTACTCTGAGTGAATGAGAACCATTGGAGAACATTTGAGTAGAGGAAGGAGGTTATCTGACTTAAAAGCTCCCTCTGGTCAGGCGCAGTGGCTCATGCCTACAATTCCAGCACTTTGGGAGGCAGAGGTGAGAGAATTGCCTGAGCTCATGGGTTTGAAACCAGCCTGGGCAACTTGGCAAGACCTCATCTCTACAATAAATCAAAAAATTAGCTGGGTGTGGTGGTGCATGCCTGTAGTTCCAGCTACTTGGAGGGCTGAGGCAGAAGAATCAATCACCTGAGCCCAGGAAGTCGAGGCTGCAGTGGTTGTGAGCATGCCACTGCATTCTAGCCTGGGTGACAGAGTGAGATTCTGACTCAAAATCAAAAACAAAACAAAACAAAAATTCCCTCTGATTACCACATAAAGAATAGACTGTGGAGACCAGGAAGGAGGGAGACCAGTTAGGAGGCTGTTGCAATTGTCCAGGTGAGGAATGAAAACACCTTTGACTAAACTGGTAGTTGTACATGGTAAGAAGTGTCAGATGCTGGATTTGTTTTATTTTGTTTTGAGTTGGAGTTTCACTCTGTGCCCAGGCTGAAGTGCAGTGGCACGATCATCACTCACTGAAGCTTCCGTTCCAGCGAGCCTTTCACCTCAGCCTCTGATAGGCCGGGACTACAGGCATGCACCATAATGCCCAATTTTTTGATTTTGTGTAGAAACAAGGTCTTGCTATGTTGCCTAGGCTGGTCTCAAACTCGTAGGCTCAAGCAACTCTCTTGCCTCGATCTTCCAAAGTGCTGGGATTACATGAGCCACTGTGCCCAGTCAGATGCTAGATTTGATGATGGATTGGATATGGAGTGAGTGAGTGAGTGTGTGTGTGTGTGAGTGTGTGTGTGTGTGTGTGTGTGTGTGTGTGTGTGAGTGTGTGTGTGTGTGTGTGTGTGTGTGTGTGTGTGTGTGTGTGTAGAGAGAGAGAGAGAGAGAGAAAGGAATCAAAGGTTACTCCAGAATGGTTGACCTGAAGAAAGGAGAGGCCATTTACTGAGGTATGGAAGACAATTTATGTAAAGTGGTTGGCACAGATATGGACACAAAATAAAGTTCAATAAGTATTTGATATTCTTCGTATTGATGATTTTTATCTAAATTCATTCACCCTAGGCTTTGCAGAAGCTGAGCATACCTGGCAATAACATCACAGCTATCATGCCTGGATATGTGCTATATGTATGTACTGCCAAACACGTGATAGACAGAATCTTTACTTAGCAGTGCCACCCTGCAAGGTGTCATGAAAGCCATATGAAAAAATGAAATTCAAGCCAGGTGCAGTGGCTCACACCTGTAAGCCCTGCACTTTGGGAGGTGGAGGCAAGAGGATTGCCTGAGCCCAGAGGTCCAAGGCCAACCTGGGCAACATGGCAAGATCTCGTCTCTGCAATAAATAAAAAAATTAAGCCGGGCTCGGTGGCTCAGCCTGTAATCCTGGCTCAGCCTGTAATCCTGCGTCTTTGGGAGGCCGAGGTGAGTGGATTGCCTGAGCCCGCGGGTTCGAGACCCGCCTGGGCAGCGAGACCTCATCTCTACAATAAATCAAAAAATCAGCTGGGCGTGGTAGCGCATGCCTGTAATTTCGGCTACTTGGAAGGCTGAGACGT